GAATTAACTCATTTTAATTAAAATGTTGGTACAATTTTGTACAAGTTGACAAAAATTAAATGCTAAAACTTACAACTCTACTTCTCATGGTTAATTTTCAGAATAAAATTCTCCTATAACAATGAATTTTTTTTATAAACTTTAACATAAGTGATGCAATTTAGAATAATAACCTTCTTAAAACCACTTAATTTTCTATTGAAAGCTTTCTCCGTTGATGACTAATTAATACGATTTTTAATGATATGAAAAAAACAACAAAAAAGCAAATAAAATTTATATTACATTTTTATGTAATATAGTAAAAACAATATTTAGAAAAAATTACAACTCTGGTTCGTCTAGCAATAATATAAGTAATATTGTTTAAGACGATAATATAAACAACCCTAACACATGAGCTTAATAATCATCTGTAGTATCTCATTAAATAAAAGTTTTATGACAACTGTTTTTGTAATGAGTGCCATCTGGTGACATTCTAAGATATTTTCACAAAAATTTTAAATAAGTGTGTATGAATATTGTACACAAACCAACAGAACAATTAATCCTTTAATCAAGCATTTGTCTAATAATAAAACTCTGTTGAAACTCACTTGTCTAAACTTTGCTCTTCCTTCTTTTTCTTTCATTCTTCCATGAGCAACTAAGTAATCAAACACCTCACCTGAAAGTCACATTTTAAGTCTCAAACATGTTGTACAAGAACACATCACCTGCTAAATATATTCAAAACATTAAACATTATAAACATCAAATAATTTATATTGGAAAACCATCAAGTATTTAACTTGTCACTGAGCATTTTAATAAAATGGATTTACAAGATACAAAATCCTTATATCCCCCCCCAAAAAAAAATTGGTTTTAGTTTGATCAAACATTGGCAGTAGAAAAGTGCAATAACCAAACTGAACGGTACATTATGACTAATAAGAACAGGCATTTACAACATTATACCCAATACCCAAAATGTACAATCTTCATGCCTTATAAGTCTTGACCTTAAAATAGATGGCAATATTTCATAAAATGAAGTTGAAATATAAATGTCAATTGGTTTGGCTTGTTTTGAATTTCACAAAAAGCTACACGAGAGCTATCTGTGCTAGCCTTCTCTAATTTAGCACTATAAGACTAGAGGGAAGGCAGCTAGTCATCACCACCCACCACCAACTCTTGGACTACTCTGTTACCAATGAATAGTGGGATTGACCATCACATTATAATGCCCCCATGGCTGAAAGGGCGAGCATGATTGGTGTGACGGAGAATCGAACCAGATTGCGAGTTGAGCACCCTAACCACTTGGCCATGCCGGGCACTCATTTTAGAAGGAGAATGATAGTTTGCAATCGTGTAGAAAGAGTATCATTATGTAAGAATTTGTTTGACAGACCGTTCTGAGACACATGCGATCATGGTCTATCAGTAGTGGTAACCAAAAGACAAAATATTTGGTACTAAGAAAACTGTGGCTGCTAAATAGTTATAAGCTTGTAAGTCAATATATGTCACACCACGTCAGACATTCTCATATGAAGCCTAATAACCTGTCAGGTTCAGTGGTAGTTAAGAGCACAAACTGTGGATGATGATGGTAAAAACTATGACACCAATACTTCATTCAGCTTGTTTTGTTTCAAAACACCACAGACAGTGCATGGATGATTTTCATGGAAGAAGCTGGGTCATGTGACTGTTTTAGACAGGTGAATAATATCCAATGTATAGTTGATGTTGTTGATAGTATTCATACCATGATGTTGCATTTAAAGCTTGATGGAAAAAGGTTCTTTTAAAACAATAATGCAAAAATACAATGCAGCTGTACCGTATATGTGTTCTGTTACAGCAAAGCCACATTGAACTATCTGCTACCCACTGACGAGAATTAACCCCCTGATTTTAGAGTTGTAAATTCAAAGACTCACCACTGTCCTACAAGGGGACACAGCTGTACTGTTTAAAACTGGTTAGAAAAAAAAGCATGACCATAATCTCAATCTCTTCCTTCACCATCACAAACACCAGATCTCAGTCCAACTGAACATTATTGGGAGAACCTGAATATTGCTTTTGCCACCATATTCATTTATGGACTAGGTACAGACAAATCTCATTAATCTAAGCACATATTTAATAAACTAATTCATCTGATTATAGAGACATCCGGGTAGTCCAAGTTAACATTTTCTTTACCTGAAAATTTGTTTCTGATAGATACCTTTCACACAGAAAACTATTTTCCCTGTGTGTTTACCTGGAGATTTGCATGCCACTATCCATTAAGCAACCACCACCTAAACTCACAAGATTTCTCATGACTTGTGCTACTGCATAATGACATTATTATGCAGCAAAAGCCCTCCACCAATAGGAGGGTGATACAACCTCCCTGCCCACTAGCTCCCTCTATGCTTTTGCATTTGTGATCTTCATTCTATGATGAGGCAAGAAATACAAAAGGTGCACAGGAAGTGGGGATTCTTTTTCAGTTGGAAAATGTGTCAGGAGGTGAGCACTTATTGGATATACATTTTCAGGTAAGGAAAATGTTAAAGTCTGAGATGATACACACCTGTGTACACCGAAATCTTGAATCCCACATTGATATAGTGGAGGAACTGTGAAAGTTACCTATATGAATACCCTTCAGAAAGTGCCCTTGAAGGAAATTGATAGAGTGTGACACCCAATGGCAGGGGCTCTTTAAGGGAACACTTGTGGGAAACTGCATCTCATCTTTTCCAGGTACACTCTTTGCCCAGACTGGAAGGAAAAAAAGAGAAAAACAAGCCCCATGTATTGCAAGTGTGTGCAGAAAAATGACATGGCTGTCCAAGTACTTTCACAAAGAGGTTGGAGAGCCAATATGTGGTTGGGGCACATTCAGACCATACCGATGCTCACCTTACTCTATTGTAAGAAACTTGTACTGACACCAGCTGTGGGAGGAGTACACAGAAGTCATGACATATAATATAAAGAGTGCAGGTGTTGGTTCAAGTGGATAATTATCCACTGCAGGAAGAGGGCACAATTTGTTGTATGTGCTCAACTCAACTGAAACAGAAGGAGGGTCCCAACCACCTCCACCTCATGAGCAGAAGGGAAAAGCAACTATTATTCTGACAACCCAGGCATGGAACTATGTGTGGATAGGGTAGATGGTATGAGTGCTTTCTGTTATCCTAACTCAATGTAGAATTTTGGGAAATATATGTACCCAGGGAGGCACCACTAGCCACCTCGTGGGATCCTGGGAATAAAGGCTATAAACAAAGAGGAATATTCTCACCCATGTAAAGACAGTGGTGAAGAGTGTGCGCAATGAAGTTATGTGAGGTGGTGCACATGCCAGTTTGAATGATCTTGTCCAGTGGCAAATGGAAATGAGTGAGAGAATGAGAGAGGTGACAAATCTGATGGGACAAAGTACAAACCATCTGTGAACAACAACCTCGAAAGAGGAGGAGACCAAACAAAGAACGTGGTGAACCATACCAATAAAGGCAGAATGAGATTTGGCCCTGAAGAAAGAGGAATCCCAGGGAATATAGAATGGAGGACGGAAACCCCAAAAGTGAGAGGAATGAGCTAAGTCACACTGAATGGCACAAAGAGGGCAGAAAAGTCTGTCCAGGTCTTATTGAACATAGAAGAGAGTAACAGAAGGATGAGAGAGAGGAGAAGGGTAGAGGTCTCCCCACCAAGCAGCTCAAGACCAAGGGATGAAGGATCAGTCAAAAGAACTAAAAATATGAGGATGATGGAAAGAGTATGGGGCAAGTCACTAGCATAAAGATGTGAGCAACAGTGACCATAATTGAAAAGACTCTGAATATGTCTGAAGGGGAGGCAACAGAAGTTATAGGTTGCCAATGGCTTGAACTGGAATGGGTAAGAGTGTGCAGGATGACACTGAGGTCCCAGTCCGGCATAGGAACACGATAACAGTGTCTATGGATAAGGAAGAACTGGAACAAAGTGGAGAGAACAGGGGAGGAGACACCTTGCAATAACAAGCAGGCAAATAGGGGAAAACAAAACCACCTGATAACCAGTAAAGGCAGACAGCTGAACACTGTAGAACAGCATAGTAAAATGAAGGGAGATGTCTGACAGAAGAACTATTAGGAGGAAAGTAGCAACGAATGGACCAACACTGAAAGTCACCTCCCTCCCACCCACCAATGCAGGTAGAAGGAGCAGGTAGTATGACACCTGAAAAGGGAAAGGACTACCAGATGGGAAAATTTGGTTCAAGAGGGATAGATCAGACTAAACCAAATGTGAAGGTGGAAGGACAAGATCCCCTGATGGAAAAAGTTGGTAGATTTTGAAGCAATAGAGTGTAGAATTGGCAGAGGAAGACAACTGGGTTGTCAGGTGGCAAAGAAGAGAGATTAAGGGCTAAGTCAGCCAGAGGGTAACACCAAGAGAAAATGATAAAAAAGTTCTCTAGTCTATGCCAGGACCCATGGGTTGGAAATGTGTGTGAGCATTATAACAAGTAAAAGACCAGACCCAGTGAAAGGCAACAACAGCCAGAGCAGAAGGATGGAGAAGAGATGAAAAATGAAAGAGAGAGGGTTGACTAGGCAAGAATGAGTGGTGTCCTCAAGAGAGCTCCTCCAAAGGAAAGTGGTGAAAAAGAGACTTCTGTGAGCAGAGCACGATTTGGCCAAGAGAAGGAATCCGCAACCTAGTGCATTGTATCCAGTACATGGCAGGTGAGGAAATCAACCTTTTGAGAATTGGCCCAAGAAGAAAGGTTCAAAGTTTGAAAGCAAGGGGCTCTGGATCAGATTAACCATTGGTGATTAATTGAGGAAAAACCAAAGAGTTATTGGAATGAAACCTCATAAAATGATCCACTAGGAGTGGTAATACCAGTATCATTTCTATCTACTGGAAGTTTGAGTGCATGGATATGGAGAGATGAGTCATCCAAGGATCATGTTCCAAGTGGAAAAGAGATGGTCAAGGATGCTCCCCAACCAGAGGGAGGAGCATATGTGAAAAGGTGTAGGTCCAGTTTGGGTGGAGGTAATGGAACATAGATGGTTATAGGGAATTAATCCAGCCATACATACAGATATTAGAAAGGAGAATAAGAACACTGAGGTCAAAGAATCCCATAAGGCATCCCTCTAATTAAGCAAGGGTCAACTGAGGAGGTGCATATGAGTGTGATCTAGAAAGATAAGCAGTCCCTATGAAGCCATGGTTACCAAACATGAAATTTCACTTGCAGACTAAGTAGGACAGACACAAATCCCACTGACAAAAATATCCATTTCTCCAAGGCAGATAAGAGAAGGCTGATCCAAGCTGAGAATGAGCTGAAATAACCTCCTTGGTGAATAAGGCATATTGACTGGGAGTGATGACAAACACAGCTTCTAAGAAACATGAAACATAGGTGGGAGTGGAAGGAGAAAAGGCTGATAGGAGGATGAAATGGATTCATAGGGAAAATCTATGGTTAAAAAGTAGAAATTCTGTATGTGAATGGAAAGTGTGACCATGGGAGCTCAAACCACGACAGTTGGGCATCCAAAACGATGGGAACATCATCAACAAGCTTAACAGGACTACTGCTGGGTAGAATAGGAAGTTGGGAATGAAAATAATAGGAAACTAAGGTTGAAGAAGAGATACGACGGTGGAGGGTAGGGTTGGTGACAGTGTGGAAACAACTGATGAAAGCATGGATTAATGATGGGCAGCCTCAGCCCAGGATTCAATCAAATCAGGAATATCTCCAAACTTCAGGGTAAAGAAATGGACTAGGCAAAGGGCTCAAATAACAAAAGAAAGAAGTCAAACTTGGGATAGGATAGCAGTAACAAGGAGGTGAACGAGCAGGTAAGGTAGAAGGGAAACAATTGCAAATTGCACTGGGGCATGGTGGAGTGCTTCAGACTTTGAGGTGTAGAGAGGAGGGAAGTGTGGTAAAAAAAGGATCAGGGAAAGACAGGAGTCTTGGGTACTGGATGGCAAGATTGACACCAAGATTAAGAAACTACTTACCCCCATCATCTCTTTAATCCTTTCTGTAGGTGTGGGGTGTAATTGATATTCTTTTATTTTTCCTCCTCACAGTGGAAATAAATTTACTAAATAGTATCATTTTTACTTTGAAACATTCATATAATTAAATTCATTTTTTCTATAATTTTTGTGTCAAAGAAATTCAAAAATTCTGTTACAAAAATGCATTTGAAAAAACATTACAAATACTTACTTTTGTTTTACAATGTTTTTTTTTAATTTTGATCAGAAAGTTAAATTTGATATGTCCAGTCAGATTCCAATTTATTGATATTCATTAACATATTCATTTTGATACTTTATTTTACTAATTGCAGTAATCACAGTTTCTGACTATTGATCGTAAACAAAAACAAGACACAGCAAAAACTGACAAAAATTTATCGATGATCTAGGACCTCACCTGTCACAATTATCTTTGTAGATACAAATATTTTGCTAAGAATATTCTTGGTAAAGATCAATTTATATGTAATAAATAGTTTACTTTCAATAAATAATAAGTTCCTTTACTTGTGTACATTGTTTGAATATGATAAACAATAATATTCAATAAATAAGATTTGAGTTATGTGGGTACTTTGCCATTGCCTACCATACTTACTACACCTACTTAAGATTACCTGACGTCTTGTCCAAGAAGAAAATTTCCATAGCTCTCAAATAGATACAATTTAACACAGAAATCATTTTAAGAACAAGAAAAAAAAAACATCCAAAAAAGTATAAAAAATTCCTAGGTCTACAGTTTGTTTCTATTGCCTTGTAACCTTTCCATTAGATTCCCACGAAACTATAAATTACTGCTCATACCATTTTATTTACTCTACATGTAAACAGTTTGTTCTACTGGTATTTAAAATTTACCACTATCCATGTTCAAAGCTGTACTGCAATAGTGATTGTTTAGACCATATGCTATGACATCATAAAAAGAAAGGAATGAAGACCTATATTAACAAAATCACATAAAGAGAAGAAGAAACAAGACGTAGCTAATTGTATTCTCAAGGAATCAGTTTCTTAGTAATAAAAACCTATACTATGGGACGGGCAGCAAAACTAAAAAATCTATAAGTGTATTGTTTATGAGCAAAACCCCTCATAGCTAACAAGAAACATTTTATTATTATTTTTCCTTAAATTTTAAATTTTATATGCAGATGTGCACTTGAAACCTGGAAGGTGTTCTATGGTCTGGAAAGTATTTATACTCTCCAGACTAAAAATTAAAGGCAGTGCTTCATTTAATAAACAAGGAATATAGAGCTACATATATGACTAAATCTTACCTCCACTGGCATATTCCATCACCAGGTACAATGTTCTCTCAGTTTCTATAACTTGATAGAGTTTCACTATAAGGTAAAACAAAAACAGGCAGTCAATTAAATAACTGTTTTCATTATGCAAATAGGTATATATCTTTTAAAACCTATCAGTACAAGTTTTTGAAAAAGATTATACTTCATCACAAGGAATTTTCTAGATCTTATTTTATATTATCAGCTCAAATTATATCCTATCAAATTATCAACTGAATTAATAATTTTAGTTAACAGTAGAATGTACCTTTACTTAGTAATACCCACTTCTATAAGTAATATAAAAATAACTATTAGTGATTCAACTATCTCCTGTTCCTTCTATATTAAATACCTTCTTCTCCCCTATAAACAGCCTACTATATTAAAGAAGCTCAGTATTCAGGCATTAGTTTCCCAGTACACCAGTATGTTCAGTGAAGGGTATTCAAACCTGTGACCCCCAGATTGCAACTCAGGCTTCTTAAACACTCAGCCATTCCAGGCATCATAGTGAAGGTATGTTGCATTGTAAACATAAATTAAAATGACTGACTTTTTCACACAAGTCTTATCTTTATTGATTTTTCAAGCCAGTCTAGGAACACTGACATGGTGTGAGATGAAATAAAAGTTATATTAAGAATTTTTACATTATATCTGGCTTGAAATCAAAGTTTAAAATAATGACTGTGTAATGTTTGACAAAAAAGTTTACAAGTTGCTTGTTAACTGTGCAAATGTGCTAGAAAAATAAAATAACTCAAATATTCAATTCTTTTCTCATGCAAAACTGCTTATACTTTGTACTTTGAATAGATAGAGAACTTATATTTAGATTCTTGTCTTACCAATAAAAAAAACAACAAAAAACTTTAAATAAAGGCATAATTACTTCAGTCGTACATAGTTGAGTTTTGGCTTTACTGGCTGATTGTGCACATTTCTTTCAGAATGGAATATTTTGGCTTTTAAACCAAGGCCTTTTCAGTATGACTTTGACATCAAGGTCTCAATATAGAAGCTAAAATGTCATAATACTCTAGGAAAAGGAAGAAGCACTCAAATAAAGCCAAAACTCCACTATATCTACACTGCCTGAAGTACCCTTAACACACCATTTCAAATGTCATAATACTCTAGAAAAAGGAAGAAGCAATCAAATAAAGCCAAAACTCCACTATATCTACACTGCCTGAAGTACCCTTAACATAACATTTAAAATGTCATAATACTCTAGAAAAAGGAAGAAGCAATCAAATAAAGCCACAACTCTACTATATCAGGGTTCATACACTTTCTTACATGTGAAATTCCATGATTTTCCATGACCTTTCAAGCCAGAATTCCATGACTTTTGAACAAAGTTTTACATGGTAGACCAAAAAATTTGATCCCAAAGCAAAGTGTATATACTGCATCA